GTGCTGGGACATTCTGCAGGGCCCTCGAGACAGGGCCATAAGGTGATTGAAGGGGCCCCAGAAGGCCCTGGGGTTCCCTCCTGCTGTGGCCAGGTTTCCTGAGATCAAAGTAAAAGGAAGGGTGGGAAAGGGCCCCCGGCACGGGGATCACGGGACTCCAGTGGCTTGTTGGGCATGTTAGGGGCCAGGGTGAAGTTTTTCGGGTCTTTTCTCTGCTGAACTGAACAGAGCTGCCTGAAAACCGGTGTCCCGATGGCTGGTTGGAGGGGTGCACACCCCACCCTGTCCCTCCCTGTGCTCGGGCCTTGTGTCCACTGTCCTGCTCAGGGTTCTAGGGGAGGGTGGGCAGCAGGAGCCCCTGCAACCAAGGTCAGAGGGTTGATTGGGCAGAGCAGGTGCAAGGGGTCGTCCCCAGGGGTGGGGTGTCTCTTTGAAGCCCTGGGCAGAGACAGGTGGGGGGGATGGGGGTGGAAAGCCATGCAACCCTGCCCCGTGGGCCACACAGCTGAGGGGTGTCGGGTGATGGGAGCAGGACAGAGGTGCCCTGATTCAGTCGGGGGGACAGGGGCTACCTAGAGGGGGCTGGGTCCTGGCCAGGCCTGAAAGGGGTCAGGGGTAGGGCCCCAGAGGGTGAGAGAGGTGCGACTGGCATCTCTTTCCCCAGAAGTGGTGAAAAGAGGGCTACAACGGAAATTGCTGGGCTGAGACGGCCCTCAGAGAATTGAGTCACAGGCATCGGTGGGGCGTGACTCAGGCTAGCTGGCCAGCTCTGGGAAGCCCCGCCTGAGGCCCCGGGTCCTGGGGGGCAGCAGGCCGCAAGGCCCCTTGGCCTGCTGCCCAGGACTCTCCCTGAGCCACAGAGATGTGCTGGGGATCCTTGAAGTGAAGTGAGCTGGAGGCCCCAGCCCACAGGGCCTGGGGACAGGCCCGGCAGGAGGGCTGGTGCAGACCCGGGATTCCTGGCTTTGGGGATGGACTTGTGGGCAGAGGCTAGAGGATCGGCGATGTGGGTGCAGGGGCCTCTGGGGCCAGCAGCGTGGGGTGAAGCTGGGGTGGGGAGCATGAAAGGCAGTGGTGCCATCTGTGTGTCCCCAGCCAGGGCTCTCACTTCCCCCTCCCCGGCCGCCCTGGCTGCGGAAGGTGCAGGGTGCCGCGTGGTGGGGGAGGGGCCCCTTTCTTAGGCCTGCGGGGACACCCCGGTGCTGGAGGCAGAGGCTGCCTCCCAAGGGCGCCCATGGGCCTGGAGCAGAGGCGCTGGGACCGTGCCTCGAGGTTCCAAGGCTGCCCCCGCGCCACCCCAGGCTCTTTTTTAAAAATTAAAAATGTGTTTTTACTGAAGTGAAAGTCACATAACATAAAATTATCTGTTTTCAAGCAACCAATTCAATGATACTTAGTGCTGTGCAGCCAACACCTCTGTCCAGTTCTGGAACATTCTCATCACCCATAGGAGACCCCACACCCATGACGGTCACTCTCCTCTCTGGCCCACAGCCCCTGTTCATCACCAGTTCTCTTCCTGCCCCTGTGGCTTCGCCCATTCTGGACATTTCCGGTCAGTGGAGACATAGGACGTGTGGTCCTTGGGTCTGGCTGCTTTCACACAGCGTCATGTGCCTGAGGTCTGTCGATGGTGCATGTGTATCGGGGCTTTGTTCCTTTTCATGGCTGAGTAATATTCCATCGTGCGGACCTGCCACAGCTTGTTTTTCCCTCCATTGGCTGGTGCACATTCGGGCTGTTGCTGGTTATTATGAACAGTGTCACCGTGACAGGAGGTGGGATGTGGCTATTCATTTGCTGTGTGACTTTATTATTATTTTAAAATTTATCCTTATTGTTGAAAGTTACAGATGCCCCCTCACCTTCCCCCCCCTTTTTTTTGCTGTGTTTTTAGCCAAGTTGTCTTCCTGGGCTTGGATGGTCCATCGGCAAGATGCAGGGGTTAAACCAAATGGTCCAGGCCAGTCAGGTCTCATGTCGGCCCACCCTGACTCATTCCTGCTCACCCCAAAAGGGCCAGGCTGGAGGATGGGTGCGGGTGGTTTGCCCAGCCTTGGCTCAGCAGCTGCTTCATGCCTCCCAAGTGCTCCCCATTCTAGAGTCCCCAGTGGCCGACTCCATGCCCCACACTCAGCCCAGCATGGGAGTGAGCTCCTGGCGCAGGAGGTGTGCAAGTGAGTGTTGGCCAGCTCCTTGTTAAAACCTTTGTGGATGGTGTGCTGAAGGTGTGTTGGCTTGAAGGGTAGACACGGCTACATTAATTTCCAACTCTGAGCAAACTGGGCCACTCATGCACTCAGGGCTGTGCTATGTGACCTTGGCAGGTAGCTCAACCTCTCTGAGCCTGCAGGAGAGTTGGTTTGTGGCCAGCACTTTCTAAGCTGCTTGTCCCAGGCCATCTTCATGTAGCCCCACCTTAATCCTCGGGCCCCGGTCACCCATGCTCTGCCAGGTCCCTGTGGTGACCCTCAGGGCTCAAGCCACTGTGCCAGGGTCTGGACACCCAGCACATGGCAGCCCTGGGGACAAGCCACCAGTGCCTGCCTGCTTGGGGACAAAGTGACAGATTGCAGGGGCTCCTCTCTTACAGTGGCTGTGGGCAAGTCCGGGCCTGCCCGCTTGGGCACTGACAGGCTGTGGCTGGACCGATTTCCACTGCCTTGCGCCAGGGACCTGGAGATGTCACCTCCAGGTGGTCTCCTACCCCTCCCTCCACTGTGGGTCAAGGGGCTCCAGCTGAGCCCAGCCTGGTCACTGCCACCTCCTCCTGGGGGATGGGGGCTACTTCGAGGGTCTGGGCGTGGAGGCTCCCAGGAGAGGCACTGGTTGGGACAAAGGCTAGCAGGGCCCTGGGTCGGGGCCCCAACCCCTGGGCATTTCCCATGATGGGGGGACCATCGCGTGGTGACCCTACTCTAGCAACAGAGCAACTTCACGGCCTTGGCCTTGGCAGGGCTCCCATGGAGCCAGCACTGCTCTGGTGTTGGGGTGCCAGGGTGGGCCCTGCCTCGGAGGAGAAAGGTCATCTGCAAGACGGGAGAGCAAGGCTCTAACCCAGGGCTGGGCCCTGCCTCCTCTGTGCCCCGTTCATGCCATCCCCAGAGGGGGTGACCCTTGATCTGACCCTTGACATGGACTGAGGACAGCTGGGGGCAGGAGAAGTGGCCCCCACAGCCTGGGTCTCGGGGAGCTCCCAAGCTTGCCTCAAGGCCCCGGGGAAACCTGGAGGCATGTTCCTAATAATAATGGCCTGGTGTCCCCCAGGCCCACAGAGACCAGGCACGTGAACACCTTAAACTCATGCTCCCAAAGGGCCCTGCAGCAACCCACTGGGGGGGGGGGGCCGCTGTTGTCACCCCCACCTCGCAGGTGGTGGCTCTGAGAAGCCCTGCCCCCCGGGGCACCCCGGCCGGGTCCTCAGCCCGGCCTGCAGGGCTGCCAGGCTGAGCTCCAGCCCGCTTGCCTGAAATGGCGGGGAGGGCGGTTCACGCAGGGCTCCCGTGGTGTCCCCCAGTGTCACCATTGGCCCCGCTCCTCCCCGCCCAGGATGCTGGGAGAGGAGCGCGCAGGGCCCTGCGCAGAGCCTCACTGCGCCCTTCCGCTTTGCAGGAGCTGCCCTGGGGCTGGGCGTGGGGAGGATGTCCCGCTCCACTGCCCCCGACGAGGGCGCCACGTTCGAGCACCTGTGGAGCTCTCTGTGAGTATTTCTGAGCCACCCGGCCGCCCCAGCCACCTGCGGCTAGCTCAGGGCAGGGCTGGGCTGGAGGGCAGGCGGGGGGGGGGG